AATCATGATTTTGACGAAAGAGCAAATTAGTTCACTAAATACTTTCATTACAGACTGAAGTTGAGACTAGAAGAGATTGTTTCTAGAATGAAAATAAATCTGTTAAAATATAAAAGACTTTTATGCATTTGCAGTAGATAATGCCTTCAATCTCTGACAGATCGTGGACCTTGTATTAATTAATTACAGAAAATAGAAATGTAAGTTAGAGGCTAATAAATGGCCTTTTGTTGATAATTAAAACCATTTCTGTCTTAGGCTACTTGACCCAACTTCTTAGGCCAATTGAAATATTGCATTTTAATTTTGTCCGTGTGTGTTTTCATCAAAACTGATAGGCTCATGTAAAACCTCCTTTCCCAAGTTACTTATATAGATGGAAATTGTTGGCTTTTTTTTCTTTTTTGTTATATTTTCCACCTAACCCTTGCATTTTACAGAGACCCTCTATAATTATCTTTTTCTTTCTTTACAGATAAATTTGTTCCTTGTGTAGTTTGCATGTCTCATCCACCAGTAAAAAGAAGCAATGTTCTCATTGAGCTAAGATCTCATCAAATCCTCAAGAGAAGCCCAGTACCATTTTTTTTTCATCTACATCAGCCAGTAGTCCTGTTTCCTTATCCTATTCTGTTACCAGCCTTGTCTTGCTTAGGTCTTTTCCTCTTCTGTGTTACCAAGCTGATGCTTTGCCTTGCCATTTGTACAATCTGGTTTTTTTCCAAGATCAAACTTTTACAGATTTTCAAATAACTCTGAACCCCAAGATTGCAGAGCACATCTATCTGTGATTTGCTGTTTAGGAGTTGTATCATTTCCAGCTCTTCACTGACTTGTCTTCTGCATTATTTTCCCTTTTGTTCTGTTGTTCCCTTTTCTTTTCACGGGTCTGTTGTGTTTTCAGGCGCTAAACCTTTCCAATGGAGTTGCTTTGTTCTGCATGTTAGTATGGTGGGGCCTCAGTCTGTGAGAATCACTATAGGCAACAAAAATAGTAAATGGACTCCTCTAATTTATTGAATCTTATCACAAATTCTGACCCCAGAGCAGTAGCGTGCACATCTGGCTCCTCACTTCAGCTTGTTCAAACGCAAGTGATTTCTTCATCCCTCTCTGAAGCTTCATCCTGTCTTGCTGCTGCTTGTACTTCTTTGGCAGTTTCCTTGGCTTTATGCTTAGTCCTTGTACTCTTATTTCATCCACTACCAAGACAGAGAATAGAGTACCTAGCTAATTGGTAGAGTAGCTCATTTTGACTTTACACACTGAATCACAGGGCTGACACTGTGTAGACCCAATACTCAGGTAGGGCATTATCTAATTATTATTGAGGAGGAGGCTCTGTAAAAGCTATGGTTCATACCACTTCATCAGCCTTCTACTGAAAAATGGAATGGGCTTAAAATTAAGATCCCCTTACATAATGGAAGTCATAATGAAGGGTATGGTTCATAAATTTCAATTGTTAAATAGTCTCAGTGGGAAAGGTGACTTGACGTTCCCATATTTTAAGGATTTAAAATCCAAATTCAATAATAATGGTAGAGGGTTTAATTATCAGCTTATATTAAGTCTTGAATACACGAGGGGCATTTCCACTCTTCTTTATCTGAGCTGTAAGCCTTTGACTGAAGATTTCTCCTACCTCTGAAATTCCAAATTCTAAATATATTTTTTACTGGATGCCAGTTGTAAAAACTAGACCTTACCGATGCAGTTAGTCTAAAAATGTCCTGAGCTATGTAAAAAGATGGTGACAAGTCCAGTTTAATAATTTTGTAAATGTTCACATTTACACAAACTGTCTCCCAGAAGCATATGACATGTAAGGCATTTTAAGAATATCTAAGGAGGCCACTAAATGGCCATTAGGCAAAATAACCTGTATTGCTTCTGTCAGAGTGGGAAGGAGCATTTATGGTCCAGGCGGCTTGGAGGGGGAAAAAATCTTTGCCTTTCCACTCCAATATACAGCAACCTTTGAGGTGCCTCAGAACTCACTGTATTAGAGACAGCAGCATCCATAACAGACCAAACATTGCTGTTGTTCATCACAAAACTGATGTGCTTGATATTTATCTGTACAGTCTGAGATTGAAAGACCTCCTGTTTCAAAAAAAAAAAAAATCCCTGTATAGTTCATCCATTCTGGGGTATGGGGTCTGTGACTTTCTTCAGGTTTAGAAAGCACTGATCGCATTGTGGGCACTACTGTAATATAAATAAATAGTAATTGCAATAGTAAGAGTGTAACACTGCAGAAAGTGATATTGTGTTTGTAACCACTGCTGAAACAGAGGTAGTGAGTGATGACCGTGTTTAGCTAGACTGCTGATGCAGGAATACAGAAACTGGAAAGATATCAACCAGCCTGATTTAAGACTTGGAGAGAGTACAGAGCTGCGAGATTGATAGCACAGAAAGGAATCTTTTGGTTGAGGTCCATGGCCTGCATCAGAGCTTTTGGGATTGATAGCACGCAGCACTATCAATCTCACAGCAGCAAATGGGACGACTATTCTCCATGAAGAATGGGTGGTATTAAATACCCTGACATCCACTAGATTGAGAACTGCAAAATGACTGAGGAAGAGTACATGTTTGTGGAGATAATACGGTGCTGATTCTTCATGTAGTTTGTTTTGCACCTGAGAAGCATCAGTGGCTACTCCAAGTTCAGCTCCTAGAAGCTGCAAATACTACTGAAAATAGTAACAAAAAGCATAAAAATGTACAGAAGGTAGGGAATCCATAAAGGAGAATGGCTACTTCAAAAAAGTGTCAAAAATAAGCAGTGCTGCTTACTGTGATCTATTTACCATTTTCTGTTTGGATTTGCATATTTTGAATATTGCATCCTGGACTTTTTCATGCTGCATATTTTGCTCAGAAACTGATGGCAGAAACCATCTTGTATCTTGTTTTCTGATTCTCCATGTTTTATGAGGCTTGCGAACCTGAAAGCTAAATCCGATTTAAGTAGACATGTTGTGCTTCAGGTCTGTGGAATTACTGGCATGAGTTGGCTTGCATTTATTATTTCATGTATTTATTTAGCCCAGTCTTATATTCTCCTCATCAGTACTGCCCTACGTAGCACTATTTCATGATAAAAGTGTAATTCACTCACTCTAACGTTCCAAGGGATGTGGAAATCACTTTCTCCCTGTGTGGACACAGTTGCCTTAGCAAACATTGCTGCTCACAGCACTACCAGATGCATTGCTAAATGAGCATAAGTACCTCATGTGTGAAATGATTCGCATAACAGCAATCCACAGATAGAGCCATTAGAGGACACAACCCAAACTATTGTTGCCTTCCAACAGTAGAGAAATGCATGAGTAGTAGTGGAACACCCCCAAAATTTGGAGGTTATTTGCTCCTGTAAATCCTTACTATTTATCAGTGTGTTTGATTGCTCAGTATAAAATTAGATTATTTTTTTTTTTTTTTTTAAGATCTGTTCAGAAGTCTGTGATAACCAGACTTTTACTAAACTGTACCCTTTGAAGAGTGTGAAGGCAACTGGAAATGTTTGCATGAAGCAAGAAGTAGCCAGTTGCCCTTGTTGGAAAGAATTCCCACCGCAGACAGTGTTACTAGTTTTTAATATTATTTACTAGATAGTAATATTATTTATTTTCCTTTATATACTGCAGCTTTTTCCCTAGATTTTAGTAATTTAAATCTTGCTTGAGAAGAGTACAGAATTATATTCTAGATCTGCTGGGCATTTCTTTGATGGCGTGACTCTTCCCTTAAACCCTTTTGGAAAATAACAGGATCTTAAAGCAAGGTGCATCCTGTTCTAATTCACAGCAGGTTCTCCTTTCCAGTGGTTCAGGACAGGGCTTAAATGAAAGGATGGTAAAGACCATATATTTCATCTGAGAAATCAGTATTCCAGGTGTGATTAATAGGACTTCCAGATGATGTTAGAAATGCTGATGTATTGTTCAGACTTACTGTTCTATGTACTGAGTTTTGAGTGGAAAAAAATATTTTTTAAGTATTCAATTTTAAGGGCATCCTTTTGTGAAGAAAATGGAACGGCTGTTAGGGGTTGTTTATTGTAACGGGCCATCAAAAACCAAAGTACAGTTAAACTCAACTTTGTGTACACACATGTCCGTGAAATACTTGAGGCTGGGGAGATTAAAATAAATTGTTGCTTTCCTTGTAATTAAGGAAGATGTAAAGGTAATCATATTTAGATTATTAGAAGGTGCTTCATAGTAGTCCAAAGGGGATTTTGAAGTCAGAGGTAAGAACTAAAATTAGCTGAAGGAGTTTTAGTGCTTGTGTGTCACAGATACAGGCTGGGAAGAGGCTAATGCTGAAGCACAAATGTTGCAAATTGTGACAGATTGAAATAATAGACCTGTGCAGAGGAAGACTGTAGTTGGCATCAGCAGAATACGCCCTTTAATTATAAGCTGAGTCTCCACATGTAATGCTAACATCAACTGACTGCATAAAGAAAAAAATCCCATGTGTACAGTATAGCTCATTTGGGAGGACATCTAGATTATGGGACCTACCAATGACAAATGAAATTCAGTCCAGGTAAATGAATAAACAATGAAAACAACAGCTATCCATAAACTGGAAAATGTGCTGATATCTAGACAAATAAAGCAATCTGGATATTTCTGCATTAAAATAATCCCCAAAGTATTCATCCCAATGTGTACTGGCAATGAAAAACAAATCAAGTAGTGGAGCGAATTGAATTACTTGTCCTCTGCAGTATAAATCAAAAGGAGATCCAGGCATTTTTATTGCTCCATATGGTAGAGTTGGCCATTATCTAGAGTACTGTTTATAATACTCACATCAAAGTAGGGAAGTTATTACTAGAGGAGGCAAATCACAAAACAACCCAAAACAAGAAAACTGTTAATGTAATGTTCATTAACAAATTGAAATAAAATGACAAGTCGAGTTAACTATGAGTAAAGAGAAAATAATTGAATTTATCAATCCAAATCTTCTGGGGAGTGAAGAGAATCTGAAATTGAACATAGATGATGAAAATGGAGAACCAAGAGGAAGTTTCAACAAAGCTTCGTACTGATACAAAACTCACATTCAACTACGTGTCTTGTCCTTGTCAGTGGTAAGTTAATGGAGGTGGCATTATCTGCAGTTCTCACGCTTACCTGAAACATATCAAAGATGGGCATACTAACTGAATGAGCCTGTGAGCTGGATGCAGGGCACAAATGCATGAATGTAGGTTTGTCTCCAGTCAGACCTTAAATACCAACGGTTACAATGCAGGGTTTATGAATGAAGGGAATTGGGACATGGTAAATATAATGCTGATTTTGTCTTTAATACAAAATTCTACTTCTTTTCTTGGATTTCCACTTAGCATTATCCAGCTTTGCACCATATGTTTGCACAGTTCTAGAAATTACAGGTGGGGTTCTGCTAAGAACACTGAAGAGTATTTGATTTGGATCTGCGCGGTGTTGCAAGTTCGCTTGATCATAACTCTGAAGGTCACTGGCCCACTACTACAACAAAGCAACTCATTAAACAGGAGAAACGGCAAACTCCAAAATACTTAAGGATGAACTAAATCATCCTGCTAAGTATTATCTAGCATGGACAAGCTTACATAAGAGCTGAAGAGGTTAACTGCACCTATCCAGTCAGTTAGAGATCTTACTGTGTGAACATAAGAGACTCTGAGACCCTTTCACCTTTCTACTTTCAAACTACCACTGGACCTCTTCCTTTGAAAACTCTTCTGTCATCCACCAAGTTTGGTTTGTCCTGTGTTGCCTCCAAGCCCAACGGAGCACTAGCTGATACAGTTTGACGATCACAGTTGCCTCAGGGTTTGCTGAGTGTACTTGTTTTGGATTTACAACCTCAGGTTTAGGCTCATCAAAGTGTGCAGATGGGAAAGAGATTACCTTCCCTTTCCATTACTTGCAGTGAACTGAAATGTGTGGAGCTTCCAAATACTGAGTTCCCTCTTCTGTGGAAGCATTTGGCTTCTGCAAGCCTATTAGAACCAGAATGAATTTTAAGCATGTTTCCACTGAGTATAATTAAACATATCAGAGACTCAATGAATTGTATTGTCCTATGCCAGACTAAAGACTGCATGGAATGAAAGAAATGAAAATGGATGTCAGAGTGAAAAGAAATTAACATTTAACACATCAATTAAGATCACCTAAAAATGCGTTGTTGTTTGATGTATTTAACAATTTTCAGGGGATGTAAAATGAAATGTCTCACTGTTGGTTAAAATTAAAGCATTGAAATGCTGCTAGAAGTTCAGAGATAATATAGCTAACCTGAGAATATATTATTAATTAAGCCTTTGTTTCAAGTGTAAAACCACTTGCATATCATAAGACTCTGGAATTTCTTTAGGTGACATGATAAATGGAGGCAAACATCTTTTTTTTCCTTATTTGTGGACATCATTGGAAAAAAAAAAAAAAAAAAACAGAACAAAACAAAGCAAAAAAAAACCCTGTAGTATTAAAGCTCAATTCAGCATAGTGCTTCGTATTTCCAACACTAATATCTGTTGTTTTTTGCACCAGTAAACACATTAATCAGAAGGAAGAAAGCTGAAAACATTATTCAGTGATCCAATAGGATTGTATAATAAGAAGCTAGTAATGGACAGAACTGATAGATGAATGAGAACAGTGATAACATGAAAAAGGTAGCCTTCCAAAATTCAGCCACGCTGCTTATGGTGTTTGAATGAGTTTCAGAGTTTAAGTATGAAAAATCACTCTACGTTAACCTGGTTTTAAAAGTCCTCTGAGCTCTTACAATATAAATTTACAGCACAGAACTTGAATATTGAACAGATCTGTACATTCATTTCCGACATGAGAGGTAAATTCTAACTAGGAAAACATACCATACACCCATGTGAGGTACACCAATTCTTCCCCATGATTATTAAAGATTGTAGGAGATTCTTTTGCAGTGCATCTTAACAGAGAATATCACCTTAAACATTAATTCACATTGTAAAGATGTTACTGCCCACTTCTTATGAGCTTACAGGTGGCTTTTCATGAATCAATCTGTTTGCTGTTAGACAGCAATATTTTCATCTGAGGCTTATGCAGTCACACTGATTCTATGCAAGCCAGCTGGCAGCTTTCAGACACATTGGCCAACTAAAGTTGGTGAAGGAATCAGTGATTACTTGTAGATGTTCTATAAAACTAGGTGAAGGAATAAAGCATAAAAGGCATTTTCAGCCTGAAAGGGACTGCTTACACGTGGTCATGTAATTATCCCACTTGTAAGAGCAGTTTCTAAGTAAATCTGTAATAAAAATTCAGACAGACTCGCATAGTTCTGAGAACCACAATGGATTTTGTTCATATATGATATTTTATGGTCTTTTTCTTAACGCTGATTTGTATGCACACCTAACAATATGCAATCTTTACATTCACATGAAAAATAAAGGCTCAGCGACTGCTAGGCAGGATGAAATCCATCCAGACAAGAGCAACCTACTGACATTTGTTTTCAAAGTTCTGATCAAAATAACAAAACCTTACTTACATCAAACCACCTAAATTTAATTTCAATTTACTGATCCATCTCACCCAGCTTATTTAAAGCCAGACCAGACACACACATACATGCCCCTTTGAATATATGATTTTAAATTATGAAAAACATTTGATAAAAATAAATTTTTGGACAATTGGAGCATGAGATCTCCCATTGGATTTTGTCACCATCACACATTCTCCTAATAGTACACTAATCCTGAAAAGCTGAAGCAATGAATTTTTACTTCCCAGAAAAATCAAATGGAAAGTTTGTGTTTTCAGTGCAACTCCATTGGCTTCCATGGATTTTCTGTTGATTTATGTGAATATAAATGAAATCAGAGAGGACCCGGTAGAATATGTTGTAGTTTACACAAAAAGGATTTATTGCAAGGACTCAAAAGAATTTTTCAACATAATTTATAGAACTGTTTACTGACTATAACTGACCTTCAGAATTGCTATTAAATATTCACTCTAAGGACTGCTCTGTATATTTAACTAAAACCGTAGTTTTGAAAGGTTGCCCAGCTTCTACCTGGGGTTTGTTTTCCTCCCAGCTTCAAAGACAAAAACAAGAGCTAGGAAGTACACATCTTTTCCACTTTGAATTGACAATGAGAAGTCCAATAATTTCTGATGAATAGTCCTATTTCATGACTTTAAATGCCAACCTGATTCAGTGTGCTAGATTAAGCACTATTTCATTCTTTCCTGCTTCCGTGATGTATCCTCATGATCGTCGTGTTTGAAAAATTTGTCCTGACTGTGTTGGTTAGCATTATCTACATACTGCTGGTTTGTGTACAGTGGTTGAGGTTAACATCTCCTTGTGTGTGTGTGTGTGTGTGTGTATATGTGTGTGTGAAAGCAGAAAGTGTTCCCTGTGACTTTAATAGCAAAAAAGCTTGCTTTAGTCAGAATATGATACTGCCATGCTTTGGTAGGGTGAAAACAAACTTCAGAAAAAAGTAAGAACTTATTGACTAGTCCTTCTCAGTGATGCATTTTTACAGCCTAATCAAGATAATCCCCAGGAGAGAAGGAGAGGTTTGTGAGATGGATCTGTGCCCCGTGTGGTTTTCCAAATGGATTAGAAGTCCATTTTATTAACAGAGTGCAGCATAGTATGAAATAAACCTGAAAGCATATGGTTCTGCCCTGCCGGAGAGCCACAGGTTGATGTTCTGCTATGGTCCTCCCACTCCCATCCTCCCTCTGCCAGGCTTTCCAGCACTGGGCTAAAGCTAGACCTCCCTTCTGCTGTTGGTTTTTTTTTGTTTTGTTTTTTGAGGTTACAGCAGTGCAGAGAATTAGATGGGACAGCAGTGCCCAAGCGACTGAACCAAGCTGATTGACCATTGCTTTGATGGTGGCCAGGTACAGCCTTAAATGCCCATGCGAAAATGAAATGGGGTTCCCCATGTGCCAATTTCTTACCATGGATAGCATACAGCTGTGGCAAAGAGGTTCCATTTCCATGCAGCATCTCCAGCTCATGCAGCCATTTCACATCTGCACTGTGGAAAAAGAACAAGCAAACAAAACAACAAATTAACTTGGTTACTTACTATTCTGGAGTTTCTTCTCTGTGATCAGTGTGGACAGTCATTGGATGGAGAGTGCCAATTGCTTGTAAATTAAATTGTACTAGGGAAAACTTTTCACATGCTTTATTTCCTCTTAACAGGATAGCTTGCTTTCTTGAGTAAACAAAACACACTTCAGTTTGTTCTCAAGAGCAGCAAGTGGATCTGTAAGATCAGTAAGTCCTTGTTGATCTGCTGCAACCCTGATACTATTTCTAGCATTCATTCCTTTTGTGAGCCTCTACTCTTTTCCCCACAGCTGCCATCAGGGAGCAGAGCAACACAGCACAGTTCCCATTAAATGCAGCCTTCTACCCAGATCAGTGGAATGCCAGCTTGGATATGCATTCAGGCTGATCGAAACACCCTCACCCAAAATGCAAAATAAGCCCAAGATTCCCTCACATGCATCCAACAGAAGATCCCACACAATTCCTGGGATTTCTGTGATATTTCTTAACACATCTTGCAAGTGCTTCCAAAATGTTTTAAATTAAGTCAGTTGCAGCTGCTCTGTCAGGAATTCACTAAGCACTGCAGCCACTGAAGCAATTAAAAAAATTGCACAGAAGGTAATTAAAAGCCTTACTGGTTCTTGCTATTAGACTGACATTTTAAATGCCTCTGGATGTTTTATTGCGCCAATAACCTATTTCCCTAGTCTCAAAGAGAAATACAACTGACATCAGTAATTTACTGAAGTATTCTACAGGTATCATAATGTTCCAAATAGAAATCTATATTAAATTACCACAGTTTCCTGTTCTGCGCAATCCTCACTGCACAACTTAGTGAAACAGTGGTTATTTGTTAATGGGTATTAGAGCTTTGTCTCTCATTCTCATTCTCTATAGTGAGCTGCGTAATATTTGTGTTTCTTGTACACAAACCGATGCATTCTGGTTATCACATGGGCTGGAAGGATTTGCATTTTACTGCACAGCAACATAGAAGCAGTGCTGGGTTACCGCACAGGGCAATTTTTTGTGGCAGTGAGCTTTGCACATGAGCATGGCTGCAGGCATGGGACTCTGCTGTCCACAGGGCCACCAAGAACATATCTGGGCTTCTCTCCATGTGTCTCCATCCTCACCTCCTGTGCTTGCAGGCATGCTAACAGAAAGACCTTGCACTTGGCATTATGTTCACCTGGGCCCACTACTCAAGCACATCCGGATCCCTCTGGATGGCATCCCCTCCCTCAAGCATGTCAACCACACCCCAGAGCTTGGTGTCATCAGCAAACTTGTTAAGGGGGCACTTGATCCGACTGTCAGTGTCACTGATGAAGATATTAAAGAGCACCAGTCACAGTACTGACTCCTGAGAGACACCACTTGTCGGTGATCTCTACCCAGACCTTGAGACATTGACCACCACTCCCTGGGTAAATTGTAGCTACTAAATGATGAAGATTAAAAGAAATTATTATGATGTGTAAACATAACAATCAGAATTAATGATGAACTTTAAGCAATTGCTCAGTTTTTTCCTCTCCTGAGCAGCTGATTTCCTAGCTTTATTAATGTATAAACAGAAGTGCTTTGGAAGGAATTTCAGCCATAGACACACACACATTTCTATGACCCATTAAAAGCCTACATAGACTGGCTTACACTGACCTCTGTGGTGTCTTGTTTCATATCATGCTGATCAATACTAGATGCCTCTACAATTTGCATCAACTAGGATGCAAGACTGCTAAACTCTCTTGGCACTGATCTCTGAAGCTGCATCTAATTCTCTCTTTCAATGAGGCACTGAATTATTCCGTACAGTGAGATGCCTGTCAGTTTGTAGCATAGCTCTGTGGATGCTGTTTTTCCATCAGGCGTAAACAATCAGTGGGATTGATCAGGCAGACAATCAGTTAAACAAATCCAAGTAGAAAAAAGCCACATACACCACTGAAAATGAGGCAGGTATTTGGATAAAGTCACAGAATGATAATGTGATATATGAACACAGTGACTGATGCTACCTAGTTAATACAGAGTAAGTTTTGCATAAACAATTAGTTTACTAGAAAAGGGAGATGCAAGAATTAGAACACTTAGATCCATATTTGCTTCCCCTTATTTTATCACAGATTCAGCCTTGAGTCATTTAGTTTCTCCTCCCTGTAGCATTTCCACTCCCCATTACAAAAAAGAAAAGCAAGTTTTCCCAACTTTATCCTGAAAATGCTACAATTGTTGAGGAGAAATGTGATAAGGTTATGAAAGTCTACAAGTGAAATATTACCCATGGGAAAAAATAATCCTAAAACTGTGATAATAACTGGAGGAAAACATTACTAAGAATTTAAAAAGTGCTTGTTCAGAATGCTGATGTCTCTTTAAAAACATAATCTAGGTGCAAAGACAGATCTTCACACCTCAGCAGACACAGGTCATATCCCACTAATCATGCAGCTACTCCATATCCTGAAAAGTGCACCTCCTTTGGTCAAGGATGTCCTGATCTTGTAAGAATTGAGGCACTTCTGTAGCTGAAATCTACCTTGTTTTTTTTTTTTTTTTTATTTAGTCCATGTGTTTCTATTGACTTTAATCACCAGATTACTACATTCTGGTTTTGTTACCTTATTTGCTTAACTCCTGTTGTAGGTTGAAATACATTGATTTCTTTACTTATCTACCCACTGATCCTGGTCAGCGTGTTGCTTCCTTGGGTTAAGTTATGTTTGAAGGAGTGCTAAGTTGCTTTACATAACTTCAATCTTTTTAAAGTTCATGTCCCATAAAGATGTTAGGGTGCATTGAGTCAGCAATAGGGGGCTGAATCCTTATTGTGTTGATTACCATGGAGTACAAAGCTATGGTAGAAGCAATACTGCAACAGAATTTGAGGTTGTTGGTCCCTTTAAAAAATGAGATAGGAAGAACTCCTTCCTAGGAAAACCCTATGAAACTAGACTTCAACATTCTCTTGCTTTTACATACAAGGAAAAACAAGATGCTTGTGAGAAGCATTGATTACTATTCAACCTCGTATCATGGAAATGAAGCCTACCTGAAGAAGCTGCTGCCCAGCTATGTATAACAGCTCACACTGCCAACACTTCTCTCCCCTTCAGCATTGCGACCAAGCTGCTTGTAGAATTACTCCAGATAACCTGCTTAGCCTAGGCAGCTTAAATAGTGATGGGTTGATGGGTTCTCATCAGTCAGGTGGGGCAGCACAGCTGGATCAAGCTGGGGACACTGGTCTGCAGCTGAAGGGAATTTGGTTTTACAGGGAGCAGAATCCAGAGATCTGAAATGGGTTTTCCCGTTTAATGAGTGGTGTGAATGTTTGAGTTAAAGTCTGATGCTTTAAAGCTGAAAAACATTTTACTTAGGAAGTGTTTTGATGATTAAGATTAATTGAGTAATGATCTAAGAGCGTTTGGATGGAAAGCTTGGCTGTTTAGGTAGAATTGTGAAGTTGTGAGCTAATTCACTGACATGCAGTGTAATTTGTGATTAAGGTTATCTGCAATATCTAACCTTTCAGTAAATGCCAGCTGCATAATGACTGTCGGTTTTCTCTCCACAGATATTACACTGCAGAAGGTTCTATCTGGCCATAAGAATCTATTTAATAAGACTAATGGGAAATGACCAATATCTGAGTATTACAGATTAAAAGTGACAATGCTAATTGACTGCAGAGGTATCTACATGAAGAGAGACCAGAAGAATCATTTAAGTCTAAATGAAATTGGACTGATTTGATATTTGAAAAAGCATTGCATTCCTCTTGTGTTTGGCAGCACGAATTAATTGTTCTGTGTGTCAGAGAGAACTGGTTCCTATATACCGATAGATAGGCTAAGATTGGTGGGGAGTGAAGAATATTAACTTGAGGAGTTTAGAAACAGTGTTAGTCTAGTAAAATTGCAAGTATATGTGGTGTCTTGTATTCTGTGTAATTTTAATGTAGAGGAGTGAAATGACGTTTTGTACATGCAGAAACAGCTCTACAGAAAACTTGCAGTAATTTCACTGTGGGGGTTTGTGATTGTTAGAAAGACAAATGAGAAGCAGAGACAAGTTTCTTCTCTGAAGATGTGAACATAAGCTCCTTTTAAACATGGAAATAGAAAGTCAAATCTATCTTTTGTGAACAGTAATTGGTAGGAACCCTGATAATAAAATGATCATACGTGGCATATGCTGTCTCATCTAAAAAAAGATATAATTAAATTCTCCAATCTTTGGTGTGCAAAAATCTTAATTTCCACAAACACGTTATATGCACAGAAAAAGCAGTATTTTCATGTCTGGATGCTCTACAAATCCATGCTATTTTATTTTTTTTCCTTATACAAAATGAATGCTAATAGCAAGAATTACCTAGTAACATTGGTCTATGTACTTCAGAATAGCACAGGGCAGGATTGTACTCTAGAGGAAAGGCCAAGGGGTTCAACCCACACCCCCTCGCTCTCCCAAATCTAATCAAATTCTCTTCAGCTAAGGGGAAGGTGTTGTGGATCACAGCAGCACAAGTCACCTTGCCAGATTTTATTTTGCTTTATATGAAAACAAGTGTTTAATTTCTGTCTGGTTGTTTTTAAAATCCCCGTGAACACAGGAAAAACTGCCAGTGAATTCAGCACACAATTCAGTGGCTTAATACAGAAAACTGTTATGTATGCGCTTAGCTTCGTGTAAGCAATTTTTGATGGAGTTGGAGGAACATGTGGCGTGGTTCAAATTAAATGGATCCATAAGTTTTCACAAAATCATCTGCTTAGCATCTCTGGTGGAAAATAGAGAAGGAAAGAAGCACTGTAATGCTATAGGAATATGCACTGCTCTCCACTGACCCTCAGCTTATGCCTGAGAAAGCATGCGGTGTACTCTGTGGGACATGCTGCCAATGCAAGGAGTGAAGCAGGGAAGAGAAACAAAAATAATAATGCTCAATTCTTTGAAATACTGTAATTTTGTGTTCTTGCACAATCTTCAGATTAAGTGTAGGGTAATTTTAAGGTAGCAGCTTTTAAGGTTCTGCTTATGGAATGCATAGGATTAAGGTAAAATGAAGACGTAGCGCTCAGAAGTTAGATTACATTTGTTTTTATTCAACAGTTGATAGATCATGTGTATAACTGCTACAATGTGAAATAATAATAGACAGTTATTTCAACAGCATGGAACTGGGGAAACATAACAAAATAATCAGCACGAAAATGAACTTAAACATATGACCTAATTCTTCTTTCATGTCAGTTTTAGGCAAGTATTGCTGTTGCTATACAAATAAAACCTGTTTCAGTGCAGCTGGTTTGTAGACAAGTGAAAATGTTCAGACTTCTGCTCTGTGGTCTTCAGTTTGAAATAAAATACCCAGCATTCTTCTGGCCTTCTGGTTTTTTTTTTTTTTTTTTTTTTTTTGTAGCTAAAACTGAGCCAGTTGAGTGCTGAAGAAAAAAGTGTGTGAATGTTTGCATAAATAACGTGGCTTTGTTTACATTTGATGATAACGACCTCTGAGGTCTTTCTGTTTCATAAATCAAAAACTTTTTAAAGCTCTTCTGCATAATTCAGCCAAATACAGATGCTGTACAGCTGCTATTTGTCTCCGTTATCCAGCATCTCTCTCTGAAGCCACATTCCTGCCCTCTGCTCACCGGTAGATCAGCTCAGCACTTTTGAGTCTTAAGTACCAAACTCTATTGTGGGACTCTCCATGAGCAATCTACAAACTGCTGCTTGCCCATTTTTGATGTTGAAATATGTATTTTTGTAAACTGGCTAGGTTAAAAAGTAATAGGATGGATTCGTGCGCGTTCTGTAAAGGCCAAAATTGACCATGTTGTGTTCTAAAGTAAAGTTGCTAATGAGGTGAATAGAGTCATCTGGTTTTCTCTCTACAAGTCCCTGTGCCTTTCCCTCTCCTTTAACCTGCCTAGGGATGAAACTATAAGCTGTGCTTCTTGAGACATTTTATGCTGAGCAAACATAGTATGCAGAGGTTTTACAGGACAGTTTGAGACCCTTGAGTATGAACTGCATTATTTGGCCAGATCACCACCTTAACACCAATTTTTATCTAAAGAAGCCTTTCCCTGCTGTGAAAGCTCACCTGCTCTTATCTGGGCTATATGTTGTGCTTCTTGCAAACCTGCTCTCCCCTGTGGAAATACCCTTCACATTCCTGTAGCTGCTTACCAAATATGACCATCTCCTTCTCAGTTTAAAACAGAGAGAAGTTGCTTCATATCTCTGTGTTGGCACAATATATGATTGTAGACAGGAACAAGAGTACACAAGCACAAGTGTGAGTTCTGCATGGAAGTGCAGGGCATGGTTCCCCAAAGCAATGGTTAGTAAGCAGTGCAGAGGAGATTTAAAAAAAATGTGACAGGGACAAAATAATAAAAGATTTCAGCTTGGGTGGTTTGCATCAGTTTTAAAAGTATTAAAGTGAATATAAAGTGGAGATCATGTGTTATGTCTCTTCTAATGTAGTGGAGGGGAAAGAAGAAGGTGAATGCAGAAGAAAGACTGATTTTTCAGATCACAACTATGGAGAGGAATGTGTGTCTGCACGTATTTGCACGAAGAGCTCCAACAGAGAGCATAAAGGTAAATCATTTTCAATATCACAGGATACATCAAAAAATAGTTGGTTTTTTTTTTTTCTGTTTTACCTTCCCGTTTATATAGGTGTCCATTAAAAACAAGGTTTCCTTTTAATATTTTTAAATGTCAATATTGTGCCCAAATCATTTTTAACCTCGCTGCAGAATCCATCCCTGTCAATAGATATGAGTGACTTCAATTTTTTTTTCCTTTCCAACAACTTACCATTTTGACATGTAAAGAAGAGTCATTTTGTAAAATTCTAAACTTTTACAAAGGTAAGAACTGGCAAAATAATAACAACATTTGTCTTCTGTCAGGAAATATTGACATGGTATTACTACAGCAAAATTGGTTTGTGTTGTGAAGTGTGTCTCATAGATAAATCAGGTCTGAGACTTTCTTATGGTAACTAAATTGTACTTTAGTACTGATACATATAAGAATATCAAGACAGTGTGCGGGGCTTTTTTCCTTTATTTTTCAACCAAGGGCTGGAGAGACTATTCAGTCTGTGAAAGCAATTCCTGCTCTTTATCTGCCTTCACTCCTTCTCCTGATGCCAATGTGATCAAATGTGCTGTGAGCATACAGTGCATGCCTCAGTCTCATATACAAACAAGCAGTGATGAGATAACATATAGATTTACAGACAGATGCCTTTTCCTTGTCAGATTAATTGCATTTCATTCCAGTACGTTAGGACAAGCGTATCTGTGTTTCTACATAATTAAAATATGGGTGAGACACAGGCAGACAAAATGGCTTTGTAAATTCCTTATAGGCATATGCTGTTTATCAGCCTCTGTGCTGAATGCTTCTGCCTTATTTTGTGTGCCTCTGTGAAGGACTTGCGGAAGATTTGCAAAGTGCTGCTCCTCGTGGTCATGCTTTGCTGAGAGTTGCTAAGCTGACATCTGGCTGAGCATCTTCTTGCTCCAAGGCATCCTCCATGCCGTCCTAGGAGGTGTTGGCTGCTTTGCCAAATGCACGGTTTGAACTGGTTTCTTCATGCCTTGCTCTGCAGAACACCAATGGTTTATCCCCATGAACTTGAGAAGAACAGCAGCAAACAATTAGCAGTTCTTCAATCCTAGAAAATATCCATCTGCTCTTGGCACAACTGTTTGTCAACATATAAATAGCTCTGCTAGTAGCAAATAGAGCAATTTTCTGCATCTGCCTCATGCTTTCATTCCTCTCCTTGCAACTGGCATTTGCAGTTTTGTAAAAGGAATTAATATAGTTGCAAGAGCGTCAGGTTTTTTCAGGATATCTTAAAAAGGAGTGCTTTCAGGAAATAAATGGAAACATGAAGATTTTTCTTCTTGGCACTGGTCTGTGCTTTCTTATTCAAAAAGTTATAGAGAATGTATCCGATTGGCTGTGTTTAATTTTGCATTGCATAATAAGTCACCTGCTGGAGTTTCTCACAGCTTTTCCATTCACTTCTATTGAGGCTAATCCTAACTGAGAAAGAAACAAGTAATTCTGTG